GTTCAGTAAAACTCGGCATTTGGATGTTTATTACAACAATATAATCACCGAGAGGCACCTAAGAGATTAGGCAGAGGAAATTTGCTTCTATGGGAACTAATTAAACAAACAAAAAGAGTGAATAGAAGCTATGAAAAATGCATGTCCAGTTATTCATTTTCTATTGAAAAATATATAATCCGCTTATTTATTAACATTTATGTTTTCCCGTATTTTTGCTTGTTGCTTAAACTCAGCATTAGGATGCTTTGAGTGGCATTTTAGGGATTGGGCACAATACAAACACTACACAATTTGTATGAAAAAAGGCCGAATCGCTGGTTTGTACGCATATAACACGACGTTTCGATAAGTGCTCTCTTACCAAGTCTGGAAACACGCACCACTTTTCCCTCTCCTTTCTGTTTGTGCTGCAGTCCAGTCTCAGCACATTGCATACCGCGCATATAACCCTGATTCGAGTATTTCCAGTGATGAACCTCAATGATTCAGAAAAGATAGGACGTTAAACTCCATTTCATTTCAATGATTCTTGTGTTGGCAAATGACTTGTCCGAAGGTGACAACAATAAATAACAAACGATTCATAAATATTTAAAGATATCACAGTTTAATAATAAAATATCTTAATACAAAAACTTAACAAAGTAATAACAATCAAAATCAACAAATAAATAATATCTATAAAATAATATTGTCTGTGTCCTATTTACCGAGGTTTTCAAACATTATAATTGGTCCTAAAATATAGACCAGGACCTAAAGTCATACTTAAATAGTTTGAATATACTATTCACCACTATATGCACCAATTTTGTATTAATCAGGGTCTTGCGTTAACGTATTTGATATCACATTATTTTGTTGCTCATAATACTATTTTTTCTCCAACAAATGTTTGTATTTACCAAGGTCTCCAAACACTACTGTTATTGTTCATAATAATATTATTACTGATAAAACTGTTATTGTTATTATTAGAGTCAACTGTTGTTTCAGTTTTAATATTCTGTCTATAATTGTGTCTATCTAATGGTACTGCTAATGAATGGTTGTATTTAATGTAATTCTGGTTTTCACTTCTCAGTGAATATTGTCCATTTATACTTGTTGATATTCCAGGATATTCAAGACGACTTTTATTACAGTTATAATGTGTTGATTGGATCTTTCGAGTCACGTGTTGAATCAAAGCATATTTCACATTGTCCGACACTTCCGTTACTCCGCCTAAAAATGACGTCATTTCCTGGAAACATCGAGTAAATCCTTTCTGATATTTGATTTGATCTTCTCTTGGAGATGAATATTTAGTTTTCTTGATGAATTCTACTGCAGATTCCAGAATTTCGGCCTTCCCCATTTTATTATCATCAAGTTCCTAAAATATTAAATAAAAATTATTTATGAGATTTGATAAACAAATACATCCACTGTTTTAAAAGAACATAATTTAATTTAGAATGTTTATATAGTAAATTTATATCTGAAGTAAAGATTATAACAACTTACCGTTTGATAAGAAACTAAATCTTCACAAATCAGTTCTTTAATCTGGTTCAAACATTCGTTGATTCGGTTTCGTCTTTTCTTTTCAGCTAACAATTTTCGTCCTTTTCTAAGAGAAGTATAAGAATGAGATTGCATGATTTAAAGTTTAAACAGGTAGATGTGTATAGGTAGAATATTTCAAGTTTAACTGATGAATTATTTAGAAATCAGATAATTTATACTATTTCTTCACATAAGTGTAAATAATACCACGTGACTACTCGACGCCATTGCAGCATGCTATACGTTAATAGCGTATCGGCACGCGAGTAGATTAAGCGCGAGACAGATGTTAGGATCATCCTGATTGTCTGGCACAATCTAGAAGACGAGATTAATGGAGAAAGTTGGCGTGACACTTGGCGTGTGTAGAAGATATGACATCAAGTAGATGACTATTATAACGGTATTGATAAAGTTGATTACAAGACAGACTGTTAGTAAACTTTATATTATCAAGAAACAGGTGCGCGTATTAATTAAAACCAGTTTAATGTCGGGTATGTTGATTAGAAGACAGACTATTAGTAAATATTATATTACCAAGAAAACAATATATATTAAAAAATGAATATACCAAATCGATCTACGTTAGTCTAATTCACAGACAGATTCCAGAAATAAACAAAACTTGAGGATAATATGCATAACTGTATATTTCTGAATAAGCATCAATCATTTGATGTTCTAGTTGGACATTTGATTAGGTTTTCTGTAAAAATATTGGGGAAACGTTCCAAACTTGTTGTGAACGAAGCCTCAACTTAATAAAAACAAACTTTAATCTAAAACAGTCTTTGGGTTAGAGTACTATGTACCTGATAGAGAACGGTACGTTTTATTGACAAAGATTCGGAAATGGAACTTGATAACTATATATGTTTAGATATGCATCTGGTGAGGTGTTACATATTGAACGTTAGATTGGGTGGATATCTAATGAAGTGTTATATACTGGATTGATATAATTATAGCAGGAGGGATGGTATCATTAACTCTTAGATTGATATAATTAAATAGAATATGACACTTGAATTAGATTAGATTAAGTAGATTTAAATGAGGTTAGATTTAGACACCCAGGCTATAATATTGATGTAAGAATTGATTAATTGAGTCCTACAATCCAATCAACCCTCAAGATATTTAACAGTTTGGGTTTTATCGTTACAATGTTTCGGAGAGTTGGGCTTTGTACGAGGTATACCTAGTTTCCTTAGTTACATCCCTATGTGGTTATCTGTATTTTAATGAGCGTACATTACATTACATTAAATATGTAACAAGAAGCTTCCATTAGCTTTATTCATAACTACATTCCTTTACGCCATTAGGGAGCCACGGTGGCTAGTTGGTTAAGACGCTGGCTCGCTAGCCTGGAGGTCACGTGTTCGATCCCTGCATTGGCCGAGAAAGTTCATCGGGATTTTCCGACGTGGTTTCCCCTTGTCAGTGGTTCAGAACGGAGGGCCTGACAAGGACAGCTGTCTAGTCCTACGGATGAGACGAAAAACCGAGGTCCCGTGTATACATTGGAATGCACGTAAAATATCCCTTGGCAGTTGGAATTCGATATAAGAGTAGGCGATAGTGCCGCTGCCCGGGCAAAATTGCCCTCATAGCACGCACACTGTATGGCGTATGCCCGTCTTAATTAGCCCAGTTCGGAGCAGAACAGTAGGACGTTAAACCCCATTTCATTTCATTTCATTTACGCCATTAGTGATATTAACCAATCAGAAACAGTTTCATATTAATACAGCGTTATGATTGGTCGTTTGACATATGCGCATGTATGTATCGTCTGCCCCATAGTAGAAATGTTACAGTCGTTAGCGTGACTAGAAGTAAAATATACCTGTAGTCATATAATTTTTATAACTTATCAAATAATATCAGGTATTGTAAGGTTGTTTGGTATATATTATTGAAAAACAGCTCGACAAAGACCAGGTGTGATTGATTCATAGTCAATGATAATTGAACTTAAAAAATATTTCGTTCCTTTGGAGGAAAAGATATTAAAGGACCAATCTCGATTATATTTTGAAGAATAAAACTGTTTAGTTTTGTGTTAAAAGCCCTTTTAAAATCATTAGGACCGAGCAACTAACTCCATATACGTGATACGTTTTCAAACAACTGAAACCCGTCAGTCTTCATCTGGAAATGGAGACTGGTGTCCCAAACGGTATTATACAGTGTCTGGATCAAACCAGACATTTAGTTTATAAAAATAACGCGCAGCTTAAACTTACCATTCGTTATGAAGTACAACATGTGAGTCATGCACTGTATAGACCCCTAATGGTACAGCAATAGTTTATTAGGTCACCCACCGAAAAAATTGACTCGAAATCTTAAAAAGGTTACGTGTCCGGATAAACTGTTTTGACGTTCACTTCCAAACAACTCAATACTTTGAGCAGCAATTGTAAGACAAGGAAAATACACCATTCCTCTATATTTTGGCGCTTAAATTACACAGACTTTCTGAGACTCTTAAAAAACGGATTGTCCCTTTAAATTGTATACCTATTAAAATTGGTTTGCGTACAGAAATAACAAATAACAACCTAAAATTAAGACACTTCAATCTCTGTTCGCAAAAATGCATACTCTGCTAATCGTTGTTAGACCTTGGTTTTCGTACCGTGCGAATGACTACGCGCTGCACACGTTTTGAGTACATTTAGTCCTCACTAGACATATGATAGATAGGTTCCTGACATTTTAAATGGGAAAATAACGTTTCAACTCTGTAAACATTTAAATACTTTACGATTACGAGACACACTATTATGCAAGGAAAGTGGCAGAATCTGATATTTATGACGAAAATTACGGAAAGAAAAATGTCAAGTTGCTACTATTAATATATGTGTGTTGTTTGTAGTACATAGTTTTCTCTGACTGCTACATTAAGGTTGTTCTTCTTTGTGTTTTAACGTCCGCTTCCACCGAGGGTGATTTTGCAGTTGTCATATATTCATTTTTATTATCTTAGCGCACGCACGGGGTCTTTCCTGTGGGGGAAAACCGGAGTAGCCGCAGTAAACTCAAAGCCACATACGCAGGAATCGAAACCACGACCGAAAGCCAGAGGTGACCGGCCCGCTAGGCCACCCCAACACCTCCCCTTACTGCTGCATTGCGGGTTTTTTTAAATCTACATTTCAAATACGTTTTCAAGGGAGATAACTATTTCAGAAAAATTGAAAATTATTTATTTGAATTCAATGTTCACTATTACAAGATATATATATTTTAAACATATAAAATGCAATAATTTTAAATTATTAGATTTGTTCACGACGTCGTTTGATGTAGAATATTACATCATAAAATACAATTGATTTGATGTAAATATTCCTGTATAAAAAGTTAACTTGAATCATATTTATAAGTAAACTTGTTTCAAGTAAGTCTGATTTCTTTCCATTCTCGTTAGCTTTGCGCAGTGGCGGTACCATAGCCAGTGAGGAATTTCCGAGGCGTGGTTATTGCTAGTTGAAAACTATACCCAATACCCCGCGCTGACGACCTGCTGGTCGGCTAGCGCAATTTTTGTCGGCTTCTACGGGAGCTAATTACACAAACCAATAGAATATAAAAGGAAGTCCAGTCGGTTCTAATTGTCTACTGAAAAAACTAATTAATTCACTTGTTCAGTAAAACTAAATATCACTAGCCCATTTTTATTACTTGTTCAGTAAAACTCGGCATTTGGATGTTTATTACAACAATATAATCACCGAGAGGCACCTAAGAGATTAGGCAGAGGAAAGTTGCTTCTATGGGAACTAATTAAACAAACAAAAAGAGTGAATAGAAGCTATGAAAAATGCATGTCCAGTTATTCATTTTCTATTGAAAAATATATAATCCGCTTATTTATTAACATGCCGTGAGATCTTCCTATGTGTGCCGTTTAGTTTGAGCCATACTATGTGTCTATGACTAGTCTTTGGCTACAGTTGTATGTCGTCTATGATTTGCCATGTTTTTTATTTTGCAAAAAAATCAAATATTTTTCATATACAATGTATATTAAGTCGAGTGTGTCGCTGTTTTTCATGTGTTTCAGGGTGTGCCGATTAAAGACAGTGGAGTTGGCTAATTTACGGCATACATTAAATAGTTTTATTGACAGGCGTATACAAGTAATTTCATCTCAAATTCACCATGTCCGAATGGGCGAACATCAAGCCTCGGCTGTATGACAATAAGTGATATGTACCTACGCCTATACAATTGCGTTGCGGCACCGGTTTACTTATGCCCCCGTCAGACCGGGGTGGCGTCCTTACGGCGCTGCTGCGACCAGACAATGCACAAGGTCGCCGGCAAACGTGAACACAACGCGCGAAAATGTCCACAAAAACTACAAACTTGAAAGAAAAGTCGTATTCTCATAGTTTTACAGTTCAGATCGCAGAACCTTGGCGTTTGTTTTGAACATGCTCAAAATAAACGCGGTGACTCGGCGATCATTGGCGACCATGGTGACTACAGCACGATAGCTGGCGTTTCCACTACGCTTATGGCGATCTTAACGCGCTCTAAAACTATTTTCCATCGCCGTAGCAGTGAAGTAAGGACCCTACCCCGGTCTGACGGGGGTATTATTAGGAAAACTTGCCGCTTTAAGAAAGAAGTTCTCAAAACTGCGTCGTTCGAAGCGTATGTAGACTTTTCAGTTCAAACTGGTCCGTGTCTAAAGGAAATAGGATAAACTTGAAAGAAAAACAGCTTCAGACTTTGAAATCTTTGTATGGTAAAACATTCTTTAAATGCGTCGTCATGGGCAACGGCGTTGGTAATCAGGAACTTGAAAGTAGTCCCAATGGCGGACTTCGTCATACAGCCGAGGCTAGATGTAGGGTACTGGAATCTGCTGAGGTTTGGCCGAGTGGGCGCGAGATATGAATGGGGTCGGACTAACCCCGCTTTCCCCTACCTTATAAAAACATGGTAATGCACGGACTTTTTTTCTGTTTTTCTTTCGTGTTCTCTTATCTACTGGCAGTCAATTCTTTTTATAAATTGTTAGATATCCTCTCACAGTCTCACACAACAACTTTTAGTCTTCGAAGGAATTATTAGTGGGCAGAAATTCGCCCATGTATCTGTTATCAGTCGGCACTTCAGCCAGTTATATAGAGGTATGTCTCGTGTTTTCCTTTGGCGTTCGTCACTTCAGATTCAGGAATCCTGTATAACTCAGCTATCGTAGCAATGATCTCTTAGTTAAAATTATATTTGGAACGTGTTTAATTAGTTCTATCACATATGTGATAATGACTGGCACCAAAACCCCACAATGCGGCCGTCACAGAGAACTATGTACGTCGAGAACAGATGTGTTCTCAAGCGATGGAGCGTAATTTTAGTACGAAAAACAACACGCATATATTAATAGTAGCAACTTGGCAATTTTCTTTCCGTAATTCTCGCCATTAAAATCAAATTCTCCTTTTTCGCTTGCATAATATTGTGTCTCGTGATCATAAAGTATTTTAATGTTCACAGAGTTTATCCTTTATTATTGCATTTAAAATGCCAGGAATCCATCAATCATATGTCTAGTGAGGATTAAAACCTGTTCTAAACGTGTGTAGCAGAGCCAAACATTCCATCGTAGCCAGAGGCGTAGCCGTGAAATATATATTGGCGGGGGGGGGGGGGGGTCTGCAAATAAAATTATATAAAATGTTGACAATCTGTGAAGCTGGAGCCGATATAGCGCGATATGGAGAGTGTGGAAGGCTCGCGTCTTTTTCCGTCATTTTTATCTCAGAAAGTGTTGTACGTCTAACTCTTCATAAAGTTTATCAACTTGTACATCCAGCGCTCAATGTTCGCGCGTAACCTTTGACATCACGCGTGCAGAAATTCCTAATCGTCGGGCTGTCGATTAGGGGAACCCTTACATTTTTGCACTGTAAACGCTCCATGAGTGTTTTTCGGGGAATCCAGTATATTCCTAGTAAGATTGGATATCTCTACTTTCCATATATACCAAAATTGCCATAATTTTATTGAAAATAACCACCCGATAAATACTTTTCTGGGAACCCATCTTTCAGTCGAAGACACTAAGTATACTTCAAGGATTCTGTTAACTATGTATTCTGTGTCCATTTAATCAAATTGAAAAGTTTATTCTTTGTATGCATGATACATGGGAAACAAAGAACAAGCGCATTACAAAACTGTACACTGATTTTTGGATATGGCGGCTATTCAAGACAGAGATCTATTATCAAAGTATAAAGTAGATGGATCTCTGTGTGTATAGAATGTGATCAGAATGTTAACCATACAATTATGACAAAATATACAAGTAACTAAGGAAAGAGTTTGATTTCTTGGAATTGATGTGCCTTTTCTTCTTAGATAAATTCCACCGTATGTTCTTCCAAATTTTGTGTATAATAATTTTCTAAGATTTTACTCAGATAAGGCGTTTATTTATGACATAAAAATATTCTCGGGAATGCCGCATTGAAATGACCGAAAATTTAATATATGGGACATTTATTTTAAAAGGGTTCAGGGGAACTAAAACTTTTCTACAACCTCAACTATAACCTAAAATAAAACCGTCTCTGATTGATAGAGAAGTTTTACTAACATACGCTTCTCTTTACAGGTTCTCAATAAACTAAGATTTACCGCGTCCGCAAGAGGTTATAAACGACGGATATTTCCTGTTGAGAAATGAAATGAAATGGGGTTTAACATCCTACTATTCTGCTCCTATACTGGGCTAATGAAGACGGGCATACGCCATACAGTGTGCTATGAGGGAAATTTTGCCCGGGCAGCGGCGCTACGGCCTACTCTTATATCGAATTCCAACTGCCAAGGGATCTTTTACGTGTACGCCAATGTGTACACGGGACCTCGGTTTTTCGTCCCATCCGAACGACTAGACAGCTGTCCTTGTCAGGCCCTCCGTCCTGCATCACTGACAAGGGGAAACCACGCCTGAAAATCGGGATGAACTTTCTCGGCCAATGCAGGGATCGAACACCCGACCTCCAGGCTAGCGAGCCAGAGTTTTACCCACTTAGCCACGTGATCCCCTCCTGTTGAGAAAGCGACACTTTCACATCAAATGTGGGCTATAATTTAATCAATTGAAATATAAGCTATCTGGTGTAGTTTTGATTTACTGCTTGTACGTGAAAAGGAGAAGGATCGCCTGTCCAACCTCGTTGGTTTTCTCCGGTTTCCTCTCACTCCTTTGCCCTACGCGCATGCGAATTATTGAAATAGAATTTAACCATATATTAGTCCCGAAATGACCTAATTTGTGTCGAGTGGATGTTTAACGCCATCTCTCTAAGTCCCGAAATGACCTAGTTTGTGTAGAGTGGACGTTAACCCCCCCTCTCTCTCTCTCTCTCTCTCTCCCTCTCTCTCTGTTCATAAATAGTATCCGCTTTGCCAATATACATTTTAATTTGTTCCCATCCAGTATCGTGTTTTGTATCTTTATCTACAACACGTATTTTTTTTTATAAATTAACACTCAATTTTGCATGATGTTATTGTCTTTGTCTTTGTGTTTCGTGTCCTTCATGTACAGTAGTTACATTTTCTGTTGTCTATAAATATACATTAAATCTCTCTAATAACAAATATATAATAATAAATATTTAATAATAAATATATAATAATAAATATATAATAATATGTTCTAATAACAAATTGTATTTAATAACATGTCTTTAATAACTGATATATAATAAAAGTATATAATAACCAATAACCCCTATAATAACTGATATATAATAAAAGTATATAATAACCTCTATAATAACTGATATATAATTTGAAAAATATATATAATAACCCCTGTATAATAACTGATATATAATAAAAGTATATTATAACCCCTATAATAACTGATATATAATAAAATATATATAATAACTCCTATATAATAACTGATATATAATAAAAGTATATAATAACCCCTATATAATAACTGATATATAATAAAAGTATATATAATAACTGATATATAATAAAAGTATATAATAACCCCTATATAATAACTGATATATAATAAAAGTATATAATAACCCCTATATAATAACTGATATATAATACAAATATATAATAACCCCTATATAATAAGACATTAATAAGTTGTAATAACAAGTCGGTAACAGCAAGTCTTCAATAACAAGTTTTTAATAACTGATATACAATGACATTTAGACTTGCCAAATAAGCCAGCATGTAGGATACACGACATCGATTAGAAGGCCTATTCGATTCTGTTTCCTTTGGGTAGTGTCCAAGATAAATTGTATCCAAAGGAGTTGCTCCCGGTTCTAATAATAGGATAAGACATTTAGTAGTTGTTTGTAGTACCGTGCTTCTTTAATGTCTGCTTCGCAGAGAAGATATATAGGAGAGCCAAAGCATCTTCCTATCTGATTTTGCTTGGTCTAGCTTGGGATGGAGACGTGAGATTGATTAGAAGGCCTATTCGATCTTGTTTCTTTAAAACAGACAAAATGTTTATTGTAGGGTAGCGCCCAAGGTAAATAATCATCCAAAGGCAGA